CTTTGCTCTCTCGCGACCGAACGGCATACAGGAAGGAGTGGCAACTTGCCCCCTAACTCTTCTGTACACAGTATATTATTCCCACCCCTCTCCTAAGGAAGTGGGCTTGGAAGATCGCAGGGGTTAGGATGAAACCACAAAAGCCTTAACGCACCTCGATAAATACTCCATTCACCTTAAGCAATCGGCAGTCCATCTAAAAAAAGCAGGACATCTCGGTTACACAAAAAATAGTAGAACCCGATCAAATTACTAAATGGGTGTTTTTTGCAGATTTTAAATCATTATCTTGACTCACTCATGAAAATCTAGACAGCTTTCGTGGGATTCAAACTCACGCTTACAAGCAGAGGCTTTGGCGCGTCCAACGCTTTAGCTGTGGGTTTAATCACCTGTGGATTCTAGATTAAGCAAACAGTCCTGCTTGGGCAGCTATAATTTGCAGTAGGCAGGACGGTTAAATTGACCCAGGTGTGATTTAAATCACGGTTTGTGAGCAGCGTCTTTTCTCCGCTAAATTGGTTGGTTTAAGCGGCTCTAAGGAACCCGTTGGCATTTGGGAAACTCTCGCAAACTTAAGCAACCCACAAATTGACAAAATTGCAACTGCTCCTTTAAAATTTCATTGGTTCTCTATGCTGTTAATTCCCCATCTCAGTACATCTAATAATCAAGAAAGCTGAGCCTAATTTACCTATCTTACACGAATCCAAACCGCCTTCAAAGCAAGCCCGCTAATTATATAAAAAGTTTTTCGACTACTGCCGAAATCTAGCGAGATAAGTACAGACTAGGTCGAAAATGTAGAAGTTGAGCTCGAATTTCGGGCAATTTATTAAATCTGAGGGAAATATACACTTCCTACTACATGACCACGCTTTAAAAACCACCGTTCAGTCGTGTTGTTAGCCGGACATTTGAGCCGTCAACAATTTTGCTCTGACTCAGGGTTTTAATATCCTGAAGTGTCTGACCTTGACAAGTGAGCACTTGGTCTCTCACCGGGACCCCCTCAATTTCTCGAATGCTCTCCTTTAAATCGCGAACGGTCGAACTACTCCTCGACCTAATAACCTTTATTTTACCTTGAAGATTCTGAAGAAAGATCTGTATCTGGTCAGGCCCTCGTCTCTTCACCTCCACAAGTGGCTCCATTAGAAACTCTCTCTTTTGCAGAAAGTTTTCACCTGATCCAACCGATCTGCCTTTAAACAGAAGCTCCTGTTCCTTGACAGGAATCTGGGTGGCTGCTTCAATCTGCTTCGACAGATCCTGCATGGGGTTAGTGCTTCGGGGGTTTATTGCCAGGCGCAGTCGATTACCGGTCTCTCTGATCGTAACCGTGACCACCAAACTACTGCTTATATCTTCCTTATTCAGACCAGCAGCATTGGATTGCAGTCGGTGCACGACGATCATTGAGCCCTCTGTAATCTGGTACTCCTTGAGATAGCGGCGATCATCCATCCGTCGCCCGGAATACATTAGACACTGCGATGTCGGTGGCATACCCTGCTGTGTCGCTAACTTTCTGTTGAGGTCTCCAACCGTCATACCGGGTTCCACATTCACTTCAACCGGCCGCTGGTCAGGCATTACTACTCTGACGGTCCGGGGGCCGACAGTGGGGGCCTGTATGCTTGGCGGTGCGCTCCGCTTTTCCACCAAATTCTTACTCAGGTCTCCAATTGTCATGCCGGGTTCCATATTCACTTCAACCATTCGTCTGTTAGGCATCACCACTCTGAGGGTTTGGGGACCGGCATTTGAGGGTGCAGGTCCCGGTTCCGTGGCATCTGGCGGGGGATTTTGCGATGAATTTGGAGTGAGGTGTACGTAGAGGGTACTGCCCTTTTGTAAATTGTAGTCCGCAAGCGTCTTATTTTGATCTAATAGAGTTCCAGCGTAGATGGAAACGGAAGATTCGCTGACATCTTTGCCCAGTTCATTTAGCCTTTCTTGAAGCTCACTCACAGGTCTGTTTGGGTCCAGACTCACGTTCACTGCCTCGTTTTGCGGTACAATGACACTTATCGGGATGGTTTGACGGGTACCGGATGCATCCGTCTGATGTTCGCGGCTATCCTTATGATTGCTGGCCTCAGCCATATCCACATCCTGGTATTTGCCGCTCATCGCGCTCTTTCAAGTGCCTCTCTGCTTTCTTCTGTGGAGTTAACTTTGTTTTGCAATCGGTTTCATTTATTTCAGCCAATCAGGCCACAGGAATCGAACGATAAGTCGGCGATCCAAGCCACATTCCTCACAGTTCGTCGACCTTGAAGTTGATTAGCATGTTTGGATAAACGTGATTAGTCGAAAACTAGACGCGAAGGCAAGTACGCGAAGGCAAGTACGCACGAAATGTGCAGCATTGCAAATGCCACCTAGTGTACGCCTGTTTTTACCTTTTTTTCTCATCTTAGAGCTTTTCCACCAAATAATTTCCTAAGTAGTCCTTATTCAGTAAATGTGTTTGTATAAGTTAAGCTGGTCGCTTATCTTAAATGCCACTTACTAGGTCACATCAGGTGTAATAAAAAACGTAGAGCGTATAAAAGCACCGAAAGGATGAATAATACTTTAAATATGCTAGTTTTTTGCGCGCACTAATTAAAAGGAGCAAAACAACCAATGGAAAACAACAACCGCGCAGGAGTAGAAGTTAAATGAATACAATTCTATGCGAACCATTAAATATTAGGTTTGCTCCATTTAAGAAAAAACAAAAATTGCCCCTAATACACATGGACAGGCATTGCAGTACGATAACCTGAAAAGCAACCTCATGTCGCTTAAAAATTCAAGTACAATTAAAAACTCATGTTAATAAAAACTATAATTTCGTTAATAAGCCAAATAATTCAGTAGAAACTAAACTTCACTAAAAATCAATAAGCTAAGAGAAACCAGAGGACGCTATAATATTCCATTTTTTGGGAGGGAGAGGTGCAATTTTGAAATAAATAGTCTGAGCAGATACCGGGTGCTATGCCGTATTGCGCGTTAATAGGCCTACTTAAACGTGTATACTAGTTATCTAAGTATAGCAACCTTACGTTGGAGAGCAATTTTAATTTGTACAACATATTTTTGTCAGTCATGTAAGATTGACTCTCTGCAAACACACAGAAATGCTGCCCAGGAAACACTCATATATCAGTGGTTTAGATTCCTAAATCAAAATCTGCGTTTGGTAGTATAAAGTTCAAAAGCCCTACCAGCGTTTTCATTTACAGTAGATTCCCTAGATCATGAACTATGTAGAGATTAACTAGAGTTAATGCGTACAAGACGTGTCAAACCTGTTATAAAATGTGAAACGCAAAATGCCAGGCGTAATAACCAATTAGTAGCAATTAAACTGCTTCAACTACGACGATGGGAAACTGGTAAATAGGGGTAGCCATACGACTTACTGGATCCAAACGCCTTTCTTCAGCAGTTGACGTGCAATGAAGAGGAATTGATCAAAGTTGGTGTCCAAATTTAGCCGTTCAAAACCGCGTCGATTATGAATCGCTTGCGTTCCAGACACTGGCATTTATTCCTTAACCCAAAAGCGGTGGCAACAGCGCCATTAGACAGGGCTGGTTTATAAGAGCAGGAAATGCAATATAACTGCAGGAGTCACTCAAACACGCGCCACGTGAGAGTTGTCGGAAAATGTGTTGTATTTCAAAAGTGTACAGACAAGGAACATAGCAGATCAGATTACACACCTAAAAGGGAAAAATACAAAGACCTACATAAGTCCCCCACCAGAGCATTGGTAGTGCAAAACAAACGCTCGGAAAAAGGTGTACAAACAGGTTAAACAACAAACGACTTAAGAACATGTCTGCCAGAGCGAGTGGAAAGGGGTGGTGGTACAGAAGGGTGGATAGGAGGGATGGAGAGGCTAGGCGAGAGTGTCAAGGGAACAGGATCCTACATAACCGAAATTATGAAATGTTTTGCTACAAAAAAATCTACGCAAAGACTGCAATCCTGGTTTTCTTGCAGCCTACAGTTAAGATATTTACGTCCCGGGAAAATGCCGACTCTTACAAAAACTCTCGTCTGGTCGCCTGAAGAAAATGAACTCTTCTTATGTAGTATGCATTTTTATCCTTTATTTGCAATGCCCCTAAATGTTTAATATATCTTATACAACGATATGCCTAAAGATTCCGGGTCCAGATAAGTTTACCGTTTCAAAGATGAAGAAGAAGGGGCTGGTTCGTGGACAAATTGTATTTGGACGGACGTCAGTCCAAATATAATTTGGTTCACGAACCCGCCCCTTCTTCTTCCTCTTCTTTGGGAGACGATGAACGCAATTTTATACAATGTATGCGGAAAATTTGGTTTTTTGTGCTCGAGGGATATTAAAATTTTGTTCTTTAAATTTTTTATCCTTACCGGTGTATTTTTTGGTTTTTGTAAAATTGCCGAATAATTTTGAAGCCTAAAGGCCGCGCCACTCGAATTCAAACCTAACGCTCTATGCATTTTGTCTAAGTCAATGCGCAGATCGTGTGACGCAAAAAGTGAAAGCTAACGCTCTTTACATAAATTTGGCAAGAGGTGTGAAACAGGTTGTGTATTGTATAAGCCATATAGTAACCGTAGCTTTAGTGGCCCCATTTTCGAAAGACACACTAAAATAACTACTATATTCGTTTCGGTATGCGTATTTACGTCTATTCATTTAAATCGACCGTTCCCGTTCATCGTCTATTCAGCCTTGCTATTACACTTACCCCACTTATCTCGCTTATTAAGAAGCAACTGTTCCACTTGCAATTAAAAAAACATACCTTAGGTGATGAAGTGGATCCAACAAAGCAAAGGGAGACCGGAATGGCCATTTCTGGCTTATGGCCGTCACAAGCCAGTCATAACCAATCTCGAGAGTTGGCACCCCCGAGATTTGAACACGTCACCTTCGCTCATTGTATTGAGGACACTTCCTCTAGTCCACGGGTCCCATGCTTTGTCGGTTGTGAAGTTTTGGTTTGCGTTATTTATTTACCACTGGTTTTATTAAGGACGCACTTACTGCACTGCTAGGGTAAGCGTTAGGGCTAGGATTAGGGGAAGGGTTTGGGTTATGGTTAGGGTTTAGGTTTAGGATTTAGGGTTAGGGTTAGGGTTAAGGGTAAGGGTTGAGGGTTAGTGTTGAATTTTAGGGTTTAGGGTTAGGGTTTGGGTTAGTAATTAGGGTTAGGGTTGGGGTTGGGGTTTATGGTTAGGGTGTAGGTTTAAGGCTTAGGGTTAGTGCTTAGGGTTTAGGGTTAGGGTTTAGGGTAAGTGTTAGGGTTTAGCGCTAGGTTTTGTGATTTGGTTTAGTTTTAGGATTAGTTTTTGGGGTAAGAATTTACGGTTTTGTAAATATATTTGCGTGTTGCATTCGCTGCCCTCTTTTTGTTTAATAGGGCTTACGTTACGCCAAACGCTGTTATGTTTGTTTTCTGTGAAATATTTGATTAAACATTCTTATTTTAACATTGTCATAATATTTATGAATTTTTGTCTTTCAAATCTTCCGGTTGTTTACATTTTGGTGTTTGGGTTGCGTTTACAGTTCAGTACCGTGAATTTGCTGGATATAAGGCATCCCGCTAAAAATATGTTATTTTTTGTTTTACGCGCTCTATGCCGGCGCTATATAGCGCCCGCAATTAGCACATTTAATTAAATTAAGGAAATTTTTACACTTATTTCTCTATGCATTATTTACACTCCATTCTTCTTTCCCACCCATAAACACCAAAATCCCACCAGTCCCGTAAGACAGTAGGCTGGGGTTTTAAAAACCTGGATGGGGCTACACAAGCTACTTTTGCCAGCCATATTACTATAGTCGACAGATATAATGCCTTACGAATAAAAACTTCGTTGTCTTAAAAGGTGTCGTACTTGGAATCCATTTAAAAATCCCATGATACATGTGCTTCAAATATAAATTTTTGAAGAAGACCGCATTTCCTACTCACTGAGTCTAAGATTTTATATTTTTAAATAATGTTTATTTGAATTTTCAGGGCATTGAAACTCAATGAGGAACATACATGCTACTAAAGGATCCATTATACACAGTTTGTGTTTTTCGCTGGTGGCCAACAGTTAGGCTGAAGTGATTTGTTCAACTCGGAAGCACGTTTTTAGAACTCCGGTAGACATTTCATGGCATAGAGAATCTTCAGAAGTATATCTTGTAGTCAGAAGTACATGACTGGTCTCTTATATGATGGGGGCAGCCCAAATGCTAACTAAGGGTTGTCAAGAGGTTTATTTTCCTGACGTTTCGGATTCCCTCGGGAATCCTTAAT